AGAGAGAGAGAGAGAGAGAGAGAGAGAGAGAGAGAGAGAGAGAGAGAGAGAGAGACGAGCAAGCTCTCGACGAACACCGGCTCTATCAACAATGTGGGATGACCGGACAAATGTCGGTGTATGTACATCATATAGATCCACCAGGCGTCATGGTCCTTACATTTCGCTGCTCGTGCGAGACAGCGCGGGCCCGCCGCGATGGATGGGCCCGCTTCCCGCTGGATCCCCTGCAGCGTGTACAAGTAAACTCACGCGTAAGATCGACCTTGCCTGGGTGGGTGGCTCTCCGTTCTTTGGCGGTACGTATGCACATCATGTTGCTCGATACTCGATACCAAAAGCTCACCAACCATGACAATCGAGGCCTGCCAACATAACCGATTCCCGCTAACTATCGGTCCAGTGATACAGCCACGCTAACTGTCACTGCCCTAGTAGGCATGGCACCGGGCATTATCCGCCCGTTTCCACCAGAATATGCACCCAAGCTCAATCGGCCTTGGTAGGAAGAACATGAACTTGTTTCACCTCGGTAATATCGCCGGTGTGGAGACCCACAGGAGGATCTCCGCCTTATGGGCCGCGGGCGTCTAGACAAGTAGACTCACTGCCACGTGCTCCTACCCAGAATCCCCCTGAATTTTTTCGAGCGCTCTCTTTCTCTCTCTGACGCTCTCTCGGGGCGCCTTTGGTGCTGCTTTGTGCTGTGCTGCTCTGTGCTGTGCTGCTGCCTCCCATAATGCGGCCCATCAACGAGGTGGTCCGCTGAACCCCTTTCCCCTCCCCATATGCCCACCTATTCCCAGCTGCGTTGTCGCTCAGCATCAACACCTTCACACCTTGTCAACCACCTGCCATGCCAATACCCTACTGCACACGGTCCATGAGCTTATACCTAAGCTTGCATAGAGACAGTAGGCCGGAGTTTCTGAGTGTTGACGCCTGAAGAAGGCACTCGTTTCCCCATCACACACAGCACAGCAGGCGCCCGGATCGCCTACTGCTGCATTGGGTGGGAGGTCACGCCGCCCAACAATTCAAACGCGACCAACAGGTCTATCGCAGCTTCACATATCAAAATGGATTGCATCGCAAGAGGTGCCTGTTGATTGACTCTCTGGCTGTGGCTGCTGCTGTGAGTGAAGCCTGGCTACCTGTGGAGCCACTCCCGGTCGTGGTCGCGCGCTACAAGCGCTGCAGTTGCATCCAAGAGGGAGAGAGAGAGAGAAAGACAGCGGTGAGTCTTGCGTCGGTCGGTATCTCGACGAGGTGGGAGCTACGCGTTGAGGAGATGCATCGCGCCTACCACCACCACCACCACCAGCAGGAAGAAGAAGAGCGCCGGGACGACGATGGGTACGACGAGGATTGGGACGATGACGTGTACTACGCCGCAGCGGCCAGGCCCGGTGAGTGTGCTTGCACCTCCACCAAGCTTTTCGTGTAGCGAAGTACGAATCCCATGTTCAGTTCAACTCCGCAGCAGCAGTGTTCCAAACACTCCGCGAGGTACTCCGACCGTGAAATCTGTACCATGAAACATGAAACCCGTTCATCGTCTTTATCTCCTGGTTTTACATCCAGTTGTACGCACCTTCGCCAATAGATCCGGCGCGTGCACTGCATGGAGAACTTGACATTCTAAGTCACGGTCTGAAGCGATTAACTATTTTCTACAGCAATAGATGAGCGGAAGCTCGGCGGGACTGCTCTGAATGTGTACAAGTTTTCCTGTCGACGCGGCACTTGTCGGACTTCTTAGAGAGCGCTCGTGACGCTCACCTGCAAGCAGACTCGACGTGGAGCGAGAGGGCAACGGGTCGCGATAACCACACTTCTAGCGGAGGAGGCGGGCAAGGGGGGGGGCAGGGGTCGGGAGGAGCAGGAGGAGGCGGTGCACGGGGGGGGGG